GTGGCGAAAATTGGTCGATATCACATTAGCTCGATCACATTTTTTTTCTCCATCCGCAACCAACTGGATCTGACTTAATGACCATCGTTTGCCATCCGTTAACCTTTTGCCTTCGCTTTGGTCCATTTAACCTCGTCGATTGCCTGCGTCCAAGTGTTCCCACCTAGCAACCAACCAACTAATTAGGACACCCATCTCCATCGACGAGCCGGGCGCCTCATTAGTGGACGGCTCCACATAATTAAAGCCACGGTTCCGCCGGATGAAAATGCAACAGCACAGTAATCAAAGCACTTGGCAATTATTACATTGATTACCAGATGAAAGCCATAAATGCCCGTAGGACGCGATGGTCAGTCCACAGAGGATATTAAAAGAGAGTCGCCTATATATATTGCAAAATCCAGTTCATTAGGCCTGACATGAAAGGAATATTCACCTGGTCGTGTCACTCTTAAAGTTGCATAACTGAATACAAAATATCTCTACCCAGTGCCGACTCGCAATCAAATTATTTGCTCTATCAAATATTTAAAAGTTCTGCAACGTTCCCAGGCCGCGAGTAATGATAGCAGGGCAATTGAAATTGGCAGTTAAACAGGGTACCTAGTCTGTTTGTTAATATTAAAAAGGACTTAAGGATTTTAAGGCTTATAAGTGCAAGCCTTAGTTTAATGATAGGCAAATCATGTAAATTTTATATTTGAAAAAGCTTTTACTTATTTACCTGAGATCTGTTTTCCTGGCTAGTCACCCTGTTTCTGAAAATGTATTAACGTTTTTTGCTGCCCAGCCTGGATGCATGTGAAACATGGCAGTTTTTGTATCCCCATCAGAACTCAGCTGTGCGCCATCATCGTGGATAATCATGATGCTGCTGATTCTGTGAATGAGGTGATTGGTCGAAGGTCAAATTGGAGGGGGGCAGATATCTATACTACGAAATATGCAATAATTTGATCAACGTTAAACTTAAACATACAAAATTAAAGGGACACAGCCTGTGAAATTAACGACTGACCCGCTGTGCAGCTATTTGTTATGCAGCTGCTTTTCCTTCAGCCTCGCACTTTCTTCTGCCGAGTTTTCCGGGATTATTGCTCCATTTTGCGGTCCAATGCTTTTCGCACAACTCACGCCAAAGTTTAACGGGCACGTGAGTGTGGCAGCGCCCCATAAAAGTGCCATAAATGTTGATAAGGCATGTTTGTCATAGGTGAGATGGTGGGGTGAGGTGTGTCAGCACCACTGGCTGCACCTGAAAGATTCTCCTGGCAAGGAGCACCGAAGTAGTTTGTCGACCCGATATTCCACAGATTGCTTTATTACCCTCCGAGCGAGCACAATGAAGGTGCTGAACTATCTATGTGGATTTATGATTTGCATGCCAATTTGTCAGCTTATTAGACGGGGCTCAAAAGCCATCTTTACGGGCGAGACATCAAAGAGATTTTTCGCTTAGAGGTAACTGTGCAAAAATTGACCTTTTCAAACAAATAAATCATTACAAAAGGAATTGGAATTTAGGGAAAATATTGAAAATCGGACCATTTATTATAAAGTTTTCACCGCCAGGTGGAGCTAGTTTGCGAAATCGAGAAGAGACGCTCAGGCGTCCATGGATAGTTAAAATTTGACATGAAGATTCCACTAGTGCCTTTAAGGGAAAAGTTGTCCACTCCAAAGTTTTTTTTCCTTGCAATTCTATTTTATATATATTTTATGAAAACTAGTAATATTTTTCATCTGTATAAAGATTTTTAAAAATAATTTACCTTTTCACGACCACGACCAATAAATATTATTTTATTATAAGACATAAGACAATCAACCATAAAATTTAAAGCTATTTTTATCTGTGTGACCACTAATTTCTCATACAAGAAAACTGCAGCCATTTTTCCATTAGCGAAAGGACAACCCGTGATTGTGATTGTGATTGTACCGCCAACTGGCCATTTCCAGCGAGCAGCTAACGCTGTCAATAATGGCCTCAATCACAGCTGTCATAAACAGCGGCTGTGTCCTTCCGTCTCTGTTAGCCCGTGGATACACGATGGTCCATCGACAGGGCAGAATATTCAGGATACTTTCAGGAGGCAATCGAGTCAGACAGCGGAAAGGGGAAGTGGAGTGACACTTCCATCGGTTGAGTCTGGTATCTCTTTTGTGGGGCCATCCAGTGCTATTAATATGGAAATTATGCAAATTGAATTGACTTTCGTCGCGCCTGACTGAGGCCCATTAAGCGGTATTTAAGTTGTTTTCTCAATGCAAAGGTGTTTATATACGAATACCGTGAAGATTAGGATCTCTCAAGTATCTGGTGAAGGCTTTAAAGGCTTAGATATGTTTAACTTCGCTTGTTGACGGGATTTAGCATCGCCCAGGGTGCCCAGGAAATAAAAAAAATAAGAACAAATATATTTTATCGTTGCTCAGATATTTTTCTGTAGTTGTTTCGTCAAAGAAGGTGTACTCAAAGAACTACAAAAATTGCAAGAAGGAATTGAGTGCATGCAGACTATAGTTTCTTTTGGGCGTATATCATGTAAAGCATACGCCCCCTTGACTTTTTGTTTAAATTTTTAACTGTGTCGGCATTTTGGTAAAAGGTGAAGCGATAACATTTGAAAAAAGTGTGAGGATGTGTCTTGGAAAGTATAGAGAGAACCACCAAGAAATTGTAGTTAACTATTCATATGAAATTGTGGATTTAATTTATTGAATAAGATTATGATAACCCAGATAAAAGGTGAATTTTTACATTACATCGAAACACACCATTTTACAGAGGTATTTTTAAGGTATGCGATAACTTTTTCTAAAAATCCAGTTAGTTTAAAGTGTTTTAAAGGGTTTTAAATAAAGCGACCAATGTTCATAAATCTCCTAGAACCCGCGTTTATCAACTACTGCAATCATTTCAGTGGGCCTGCGGCCAATAATAGGTTCGTGGCTTAATTTTCAGTTCAACCATGTCGATGGCCACAGGTGTGGTGGCGTAGTAATTTGTCACTTTCCTTTCGGACGGCTACTGCTCCCTCTGGAGCGAAGGAACCTGCCAGTTGTGTGACAATTGCCTCGGAGCTGAAGGGCCCAAACCTTGGCTAATCGATAAGTCGAGGCGAGTGGGGCACAGAACTGGAAAACGGCTCACTCCAAATGAAACTTTCTCCCTTGGTTCTTGTATTGATTATGATTTTCAAAGCCCTTGGTGGGTACAGAAAATGCCCATCGGGCAGGCAGTGGAATCCAATGACAAAAAAGTGTATAAAATATTACTTTGGCTTATAGTCAGACAATGGCACCCACTGCTATCAGTATCAAACCTAATGAACCCAAAAAGCCTATTAAAGTCTGCAGCATTAATAACTATAAAAAAAGGTGAGGCGAGACTATTAAAAGTAATGACAACTAATTTTAACGTTAATCCAGACAAAACCCACAAAGCATAAACACAATTTATAACATTTACGAAAATAAAAGGATTTTCAGGCAAATAAAAAGGAGGCAAAAAGTATGAAAAATTAAATGCCATTTTGTTGGGTTGAGTTGGGTTTCTCCTGGCAAAACAAAGCGATACTCCTTGGCAATGGTGTTGGAAAACCTTTAGGGATTTTACATCCATCCCTCTGATGCCCTCAGTTATATAAAATTGACAACGATTTGTGCCTCAATCAAAACTCTTATAAAGTTCAAGAAGTGCCCCATATATTGAAGTTAGAAAAGGGTTCATGTTAGGACCTTCCCATCAGACTTTTCATTTAACATTGAAAGCCACTTTATTTTTAGCAGTCGTCGCAATGAATGGAAAACAAACAACTATTGTGTGAATTGTTTGCTGACCAGTCAATGCCCATTGAATGAACACAAATTTTCATTTCATTTATGCATTCAGGCAGCACAAAAATAAATATAAACGAGCGAACAGTGCAACAAAATATAATCAAGATTGGCTGTCAAAATATCCGCAAACGGCAGTACGTGTGCATGAAAAATTCTTGAATGTTCATCGATTTTTTTTGCCTCGCTTTAGTTTTTATTATTATTATCTGTGAATTTCCGTCTGTCGTGCGCAAATTGGATAATAGAGCGGTAAATTAAATTTACCGCCCCATTCCGTTCTGGATTGAGTAAAAGTAATTACAGACAGGTAGATAGCTGGCCATGCAAAATGGAGACCTACCACCCTCAACCCGATTACATGTATACATATGTGGCCTCATTCCACCCGATAATTAAATAAAGTGAGATACAATTTGATGTGGTCATACGTGGAAAAAAACATGATTGACAGTTCTCACTTGAAGTTCTAGTTCAACCGCGACTTTATTCCGTGCATGATTATACCCTTTACTCGTAGAGTAAAAGGGTACATTGTATTCGGGGAAAAGTACAAAGAACAGGACAAGGAAGCTTTTTCTTCGGTTGTGATCTCGGAAACTATAATCCAGAGTTGGGATTTCAGATTAAGATTCCTTAATTTCTCATTCAGTGGAGGTTTGCTATTCGAATCTACCACGCCCACTCTAACGCCCATGACGCTAAATCCTGCACCTACTTTCCAAAAATGGTTCAAATCGGACAATCCATTAAAAAGTTATAAGCAAATAAAAAACTCGACGCTAGGTGGAGCGATGGCGCAGTTTGTAATTTTGAGAACAGTCGCTTTGCTGCTTGCATATTTCTATCTCCCTCGCACTCTTTTTAGCTGCGTAACAGGTATCTGATACTCAAGACCATCAACTATAGCGCTCTTTCGTGTTTTTTAAAGATTATATTTAAATAATGCGGTGAAAGGACCAAACAGAATAATAAAAATATAATTTTTAAAAAATAACTACATCAGTAGTGTATAAGTTACGATATTACCTCTCAGAAATATAACCTTTGAAATTGCTTAGTAATATCCTACTAATATCCATTTGATGCTTTAAAGGTACCATAGCCAAAACAAATTTGCTTAGCTAAAGTGTCCGCAATATCTCAATATCATATTTCACTTCTGTTTTGGATTCCGTATGAATAGAATGTATTTATTGTTTATTCTCGCCTTGGGCGTCATTGATCTCAGTTGTGGTCAAGAGTGCAAGAAAGGTTATTTTATGAATCCGAAAAGACGAAAATGTGAACTAATACCGCCCACAAAACCGCCACCCAAATGTCCTAGTAAGTATAATAATCATTAGACAACTGATTTTATGTGAAATCGTATTCTAAAATACCGATTTCCAGCTACATTTAATTGGCTAAACTATCTTCTTAAAATCATAATTAGATAGTATCTTAATCTAGTTTTGGTTTTGTATAATTAATTAGAGATGACTGAAAATCGGATTTAAAAAACCATTTTACATAAAATAATCTTTATTCAAATACTGTAAACTGAATCCCTTTAGCTGGATCTGTCTGGCTTCCTGCTAAGAACGAGTGTGTCAGGCTACGTCAAATTATTAGTGGATATTACCCACTAGACCATGATAACGCTACGCAAGGCTCAAATCCATGTCCCAAGGGCACCAGTTTGTTGGGGAAAATATGTGTAAAGGAGTCAGGGAAGAAACCAGGTGCCAATGGTGCAGGGAGTTCGTTGTTCCTAGAACCGGAGGGTCAATATCAAGTATACATAGAAGAAAAAAAGACATAATGAATTTGTAATTGTTTTTACATCATTTTTGCTATTTTAAGACAAAATATAAAAGTTATGATTTAATAAAAAAACTTAACTTAAAAACATTTACATCAAACCAGCAAACAAACTGTTTCGTATAATTTAATTCTAACGTAGCTTTAAAGCGAGTCACAAACTGAAAAAGATAAAAAACAGCTATAACCGCATTTATCCAGCGACTGCTATAATGAACCACACAGCAATCAATGTGGAAAACAATGGACTAGGGAAAAAGGAGGGAAATCAACTTGTTTACGGGCAGAAAGTCAGAAAGAAAGTCATGGCAGTTGGCCAACAAATTGCAAGCCTGAAGTCATGACAATTGTCTTGCCGCCTATTAAACTGACAACTATGTTGCTTAATATCAAACTTTACAGACTTTAAATTTAAGACCTTCGAATTAAAATGTAGGCAACTGGGTAAATATATATATATTCTCTAAATATTCATGAATATGTATTTCCAACTTTAAATGTCATGTCTGCTGTTCATAATTTGATATAAATATACACAACATTGCGTGGGACACCTGTGCCACATACATGCCATTCGTTTTACAAAAACTTTTCTCTGCCCTTATGCCCTCAAAAGTTTCCTTTAGAAATTTATGGAAATTAATTATAAAATGTATTTGCTATTCAAATTGTTTAGTTTTCATATTCACAAACTAAAATTTGTCAAATTAAGTTACATAGTTTATATTTCAGAGGGCTGACTATTTTGAAATAATTATGTGTTGCAGTTTCTCTACACACAGAAAAATAAAAAACAAAAAGGCTTCTTCTTAGTTATTTAAGAAAAAACGTTCCTGAAATTAAGACGCAAGCACTCTTTAGTTTGTTTTTCGAGACGAATCGTTCTTGAAAAAGGGACGAAATTGATTTTTTTGTTAAGCGACTATCTTTTTATATAAAAAGAATGTTTTTTAGAAGATATATTTTATGAGTAAAGTCTCTGTCTTGTTTAAACATATGTTAGCTTTAACAATTACAAAAATGAAATTCATGACATCATAAAATAGTATAAGTAACATTTACGAACTGCAAATGGCAGTAACTGGGCGGCAATAATCGTAACCATTTCCAGTTTTGAAAGCACTCAGAGTTGGCCATTACTCTATGTCTCCGTGGCGCATTTTGCGGTTGAAATCTGCACAAAAGGTGCGAACTTTAGCAGCCAAAGCAAATGCAGATACGGATATAGATGTGGGATGGCGGGAACGGAGGACTTGCCATCCGGCGGTGCCGATTGGATGGCTCTGTTGCTTATTTGGCACGGATTCGGTAGCATTGCCTCAAAATGGAAAGTTGATGTGTGTGCCCCCTGCAAATGCGCGATAAATGTGTCGGTGCAGTGAGTGAAAGGAATTGTGGGATGGTTTTTATGGGGAAAAAAACCAGGACATTTTAAACCTTCTATTACACTTTTCCCTTAGCCAACACAAATAAAGTGGTTCCTGCAATAAATTTAGCTCTCGTCAAAGGGCTATTAAACTGACATTTGTTTCCCTTTTAGGGCACTCAATGTACCAGCGATTGCTCCATTTCTGCTCCTCTGTTCAGTGTTCAGTGTTCGGTGCTCAGTGTTAAGTGTTCAGTGTTCAGTGTTGCTGTTCACTTGCACAACGCTTTGTTTTGAAAGCCTCATAAATTGCGCATACGCCATGTTGCACCACGAAGCCACATGGCTTCTCTCTTTCAGCGCGCATAAATTCAACGGGTGAAATATTTGCGAACCGTGAAGTGACGCCGCAAAAAGACTAGGAAAAAAAAAAAACAACAAACAGCAGTTAACCGAATGCTCCGGAGCACTTTATACCATCCACGTGGTGCGCCAGAGGACTGAGGATTCCCAATTGACGTGCACCATGCCATGGAATGCAAATTTCTCGCGCTATCTCTCTGTCTTTTTGGTGGCGAGTTCAATTTGAAAGTCACACCTACACTTGCACCAAATTCTGATGATGCACTCTCAGCGGATTTGGGTGAAAATTTCACAGAGCATTTTCCGGCTGGCCATATTTCAGGCACATCTCCTTGGGGGGGATGCGAAACTCAAATATTTGTTGCCTTTGACTGCGCCTGCAAACTGTAAGCACCGGCGCAAAGGATAATGCGCTGAAAGTCCCTTTACTGGTCCTCTGACGTCTCAAGTGCCCGGGACTTACCTACACTAGAAAATTTACACAGGCCCATCTAGGTCAAGTATTGTCAGAGTCAGCCACATCAACGTCATTGTCATGAAATTTCTCGTGCTAAAACTGTCACTGAAGTTCATGTCAGTCGCCTGGCACAGTGGGCCCGGGGATCTCAAAAAATGTGGCCCACAAGCCACGTGAAAAGTGTGGTTCCCTGGGCCATCAGCAAAATGAACGGCAACTCTGAGGCAAATACTTATATGCAAGGCCAGAACATTCAGCAGTGATTTGAGTATTTTGGGACCACCATCCTTTAAAATGTTCAAATGTCCTTGACGACTGACAGTTACAGTGGCAGCACCATCGCCGCAGGAAGCCACTGTTTTGGGGGAGGAGTTCTCCACCTCTTGAGGTGGCAACAAAAAATCGTTAAATGTTGGCCATGTGCAGAGAATGGCTGAGAATGGTTAAGAACTAATGCCAAACTGGCCAGCAAATGGTTATGATTATGTGATGATGGCATAAGTATTAAGTACTTGCTTTGAAGAAATTTGAAATTAGATTTTTTGATATATTTATTATAATTTGAGCTAGAAGGTATATGTTATCATGGATGTATTTAAAAATTAATTTAAACAAAATACTCACCTTTCATATATATTCATTTATAAAATAATAAGTCTTCGCTTCTTTATTGTATTTATTTTTATTACTCAATTAAAATTTAGTTGGGACATTCTTTGTTTTGGTTTCTTCGGCTTGTATATGGTTTGCTTTTATATTTGGTTTTCTTTTCTTTCCATTTATCCACATATAGTTGGTTTTACCCATTTGCTTTTTAAATGTAATAATTTTATGCAATTTATTTGAATTTGACTTTGATCTCTAATATAATTTCAATTATCTGCATTAGCTTGTTATTAATTCTTTGTAGTTAATTGATTTGAATTTTAAATATTTCTTTAATGGCTTTTGGTTGCCACATGGTAACAGTTTTCTCAGCCGCAGCCGAAAAAAAATATTTTCCAATTCAACTCGCTCTAATACATGACATTTTTTTTTGCTTTTGTATAGGTAGGTATATATATATGTGTGTATTTCAGTTTCCCTCTCGAGGATCAATTGTTAAGTAGACAAATATGTAATACACTTGGTAGAAAAACGAAAATTGTGCCACCAGATTAGTTATCTTCATGTTCATTGACCTTTCAGTTAATATAGAGCCCTTGGGCTGAAAAATTGTTGAGTTGACGTCTCGAAGCTGCATCATGTTGCTTGGGTACCCCTAATTTGCCTTAATTTGAAACAACATTGAGTTTCTTTGGTTTTTACTTCATATTCATGTTCATACGCATGTAGGTACAATTAATTTTTTACTTTTGGCATTGGCCAGACAAAATGGAAATGATTTCCCAAAAATTTGTTCAGCATTTTCCTTGCATTTGTCTTTTATTTGGTTTCGCATTTTCCTACAATAAATTTTATGGAACATCGTGCCTTTTATTTATCTTTTTGTAACATCAGGTTTTTTCTTTGAAAATTTAACTTTAGTTTACTTTTGGTTTTAGCTTTAGTTACTGCCTTGGGATTAATTGGAAAGTCCAAAAACCAAAATACGATTTAATTAAACATTAACCAACGCAAATGTTCAATTCTAAAGGTTAGTAATTAAACAAGACAAGCTGCAAGTATATTCCGGTAAATATCTTTCTTATCCGCAAAAGGTAATCTCATTATTAATTTATTAAAGCTTTGCAAATAATATGTAACTTTGCCCTCGACTTAGTTTATTTAATTATTATGAGAATCATTTGGGTTTGCCATTGGGCTAAAACATATTCACTAAAAAGTTTACAATTGTGTGCCCTCATCTCGATTGGCCTTTTACACATTTACAATTTACCAAATTTTTTATTCACTTGCACATTTGTGCATTAATTAAGCTTCATCTGTGACTTGGCCAGCCAGGACCAACAAAATTCAACTGGCGAGCTCCTTACTCGGGATTGGCATCCTTGCGGGTCTTGTGGCCGCGGAACGAGGCCTGGATTTTGGTGGCAGCCTTGTTGAGCTCGGGATCGGTTAGGTCTATGTCCAGCTCCTCGGCCACCTTCTTGGTTATCTCCTGGATGTCCTCATCCTCGGGCGCATCCTTGTTGACCAGTTTGCGTGCCAAGTGACCACGGAAAGTGGACTGAATCTTCAATGCAGCGTGGCACAGATCTGTGGAGAAAGGACATGGCAACGGATAGTTTGTGTAAATTAGTGTTCCAGTTCTGCTTAAGTGGCCACTTGGCCAACACCCCAAAAATAAGAAAACAAAGAAAACAAAAAAGAAATATATATAAAAGAGTTTCGAAACTTGTCTGGTGTTCCTTGGCCAATTGAAACTTTAGATGATACTCAAACATTCTGCTGAATTTGTTGTAAACTTTTTTCAATTAGCTTCGTTCCTTATTCCGGCTTCAACAGAGTTTGTATGGTTTTCGTTTTAATTTATTGTTATAGCTCCCTTCCCCTGTCACTATTAAATTCCCTATCTGACCACCGCTTCATAGTTTATTGCCCAACACTGGCCATTATTTTACCAGGGTTCCCAGATTGCTTGTAAAAAAGGGAAATAATCGAAATCACGAAGCGAATTATTCCCCCAGCGCTCTTCAAAGTGTTGAGTATTCCCTTCTTTGGACCACGTTTTCCCCAGCTAATCTCATTATGTATACGCAATGTAGGGCGCAGCGGGAAGCATATTTCCTGCATATATAATCCACACCAAGTGCGGAGTACTAGATGGATGGGTACTGACCACAAAATTAAGCTCGCAGCTGGCCAGGATGCATGTGGTTGTGGTTAAGTCACGCGTGTCCCTCACTACGTGCTACCTTGGCTGGGTTTTTACCCAGAACAAGCTCATTCTAATTAGCCAGTAATTGTGTAAAAATGCGCAGGAAATACGTGTGCTTCGGACCACAGGAAAAACCATTAAAATCTGCATAGGAAACTTCTGAGAACGCGCTTTTTCCACGACGTCAGCCGCAAGATTACATCATTGCAGCTGTCGTTTTTCCAGTTTTGTCATCTTTTCCCATTGCTCTTGTGCATTTATGCAAATTCCGGGGAAAATTCTCATTTAAAAATTTGTCTTTTTTGTTGAGATTTTTGCCGCTACGAAAGTGCATACATTTAACTTGGCCAATTTCCGCGACAAAAATCTCGCGTTCGCCTGCGGGCCAAGTTGGCCAACTTGGCCATGCAAATATTTCCAGAGGACAGAGGAAGGGAAGTGGGTCTGTGTTAATTCGCTAAGCGTAATTGGAGTTAGGCCAAGATAAGCATTTGGATGAGGCTGGAGGCTGGAGGCGAAAAGGTCCTGGCCCAGGACTTATGGCATGTGCTATTTTATCAAATTAGGCACACACGGCGGCTACGCAACGTGATCCGGCCGAAAGGCACGTGCCAATCGCCGCTGCTGCATTTATGTTTATTTATAAAATATTTAAAAATATCTGCAAGACGTGCAAATAGCTAGGAGCAGTGCTGTGACATTTACAGGGGCGTAGGACATTTACAGGGGACCAGCTAGTTAGCCGGGCTAAGCCGAGCTGAGCTATTGCGATTGCCTGGTGAGTAATCAACCTGTTCTCGACCGTTCCGCCAAGTTCTTTTTTGTGTTTTGGGGAAATTCGTTATCCTTTCTTTCATTTTTTTCAGCTAGAAAGTCCTGCCAAAAAATACACAAAGAAAAAACACAAGTTCGGATTCAGTCAGACTGCAGTTTATACAATCAAAAAAATGTGTTAACCTACTATGAGCAGTTGAGATATTTCTTAAAAACAAATTTTTGCATGGCCTTTTGTCAATTTATTGTTGCTAAATATTTGATCTATGTTTAAAATCTAGTTTAGGGGTTCTTAGTAGCCGGAAGAATATTTAACAAAGTTAAAAATGTTGCAAATATTTAACAAATTAAGAACATTTATCAATATTTTGTTTTATAATATTCTTCTTTGTATACAAATTTTTCGGTAGTGATATGAACTCTTGGTTTCTCACTTCATCGTGTATGAAAAACTTTATCAGCTTAATATTCAAACTATTAAAAGATTAAAAAAGGATCCCCTTTTCTGGGTACTGTTTCAACTTAAAGTTCCTTTAGCACTTCCAAATTACTGTAGTTGTTTTTCTTAGTGCAAACTTTTTTGCGAGGGATTTGCACATGTCGCCGGCCATGCAACACATGTTAAAAGCCGATCACGTACACTGCGTGTCCTGTCACAGGACCGCATAAGTCCAAAATCTGAGCTACAGTGTCGGAAAACTTGTCAGCAGGCCGCATGCATGTTGCTTCTTGTGCCTTCCGCCAGTTCGTCCTGCTATCTGGTATTTGCTTGATGTCCTGGTGTCCTGGTGTCCATGGTGTCCTGCCTGCTGGCGAGGCATACAAATTGAGTTTGCTTTTCTTTCTGGCAAAATGTCAGTGCTTCTGCCTGGGCCTCGCATGCACTTCCTGGGGGCAGTTAGCCGGGTTGGTGGGTGGGTCTGCACACCTTGGTCGATGTTGGCCAAGGGATTCGAATTGGGATTGGGACTTGGATTTGCATGTGCAGAGCTTCGGGGCCATCGGTCACGTCGCCCTGATTGACTGACTAACACGCTGCCCGTTTCTCGTTCCCCCTGGAGTTGGCTTAATTTGCATGACCGCTTCTGTTCGCTTCAGCATTTCTTTTAATTCAAGGTTTTTTGTCCACCTTTTTTTGCGCCTTTATTTTTATAACCCAATTTGCAGCTTCCATCGAGCGGTAATCCTCAAAGGATATAAAATCAATCATAAGCCACATCAACTGCACTTTTTCACCTGTCCTTCGCTATCCTTTTATTGCGAATATTGAGTGGGCACGGCGGTCGGCAAGGAACTGCAGCACACGTGTATCATTTTTCCCCGCATTTGCATGTCTGTGTGGGGGACTCGACGCTCTTGACCCACATTTCTCGCAACAATGCAAATTTATATTAAAACAGAAGGAAAATAAAAACAAAGCCTCTGTGTATGTGAGTTCCATTAGCGAAAGTGCAAATCCGTGACGTGTGCTTAGTAATTGTGTCAGAAATAATAAACAAAAACCGTACCAGACACGCACATAATGAGGAAGGTTGGCAAAACAAGATGTTTTGACTTCAATTGTATAAAATTAGGAATGCTCTGTCTGTGATTTAACTAGAGACAATGTTGTGGTTAAGATTAGCCAGTCGAAAACACGAAAATGACAAAGAAAAGTTGGCCTACTTTTCCTTTTCATGGGACAAAAGAGAACCATAATTTGTCTCTTCTAACAATTAAACTATTTTTACTTTCTCCGACAGACAATAAACTAGAACCTTAGCATGAAATTGAGAAATCGTACCTTAGAAAATGTTCCATCAAAATAAGAAATGATCCCAAACGGACCATAGTGCAAAAAAGTAAATCAATGAAATTGGTATTATTGGCTTACTTCAAGCAAAGGAAAGCCTTAAATTCATATTTATTTTGCCATAAAGTAAAAGTTTCTCAAACGCGAAAGAATAAATTCAGATGATCGCCGAAATTGTTGTAGTTGAGCTGACCCACGGTCGAATCCTTCTCGAATATCATTATGTAGCCACAAATGCGCAGAATCACCGAGAGGACATTGGCCAATACCATGAGCTTGAAAATCAGGGCTATGACCAATTGGCAGATCAAAATATAGGTTGTTTCACTCTCATCTCCCTTCACCACGAGTATAATGGCCCATACTGTCATCATGGTGCTATAAATCCAGGTGCCGATAAAGGCGAAGCAGTATGGCGTAGAAAAGGCCATTAGATAATACTTATCACTGGGTTTCTTCATTCCTGCCTCCAAAAATCGGGCCCCAATGAAGCTGCATTGGCAGCAGCGGTACAGACTGAACAACAGCACGATTACCATACTGTGGACGCACATCTCAATCTTCATTTTGAATTCGAACAGGCTCTTGTAGGTCAATACATATTTCAGTTTCTTGCTCCACAAATTTATATCCCATTCCTCAAATGGTATCGGCACGATGGCAGCCGCGTGCATCATTGCCCAGAGATACCAAAAGGCCCACAGGAAGCGGAGAATCACCATAATCGAACGGGTGTGCTTGCGGTTTGTGTATTGTCCAGGCATTTTGGATAAGTTATCAAATCGAAGTGATTCAGAAAATAAAATATATCGAATTTCTTCAGAGTTTGCGTCTCTGCGTTGGAAATGTAGAAAATGTGTAAGTATTGTACGCAGACCGTAAGTTGAGTGAATACTAAGTGTTCTCGTTGAATGATTTTAATAATCTGACAGTTATTTCAGAGACTACTAAGATTTTTCATAGGATCAATAAAAAATTGTGAAACTGTTTCGAAACTGGTTCACAAAATAACATATACTTAGGGTATCCTCTAAAACGTGAACTGCTGAATGGTTAATTATTGTTCAGCTGCTTTTCAGCTGCTCCATGGAGATTGCATTTTCATAAATTTCAGCAATTCTACAACCTTGATGATGTTGTATTCCTGAATACCAGAGTTGTCACCATATTTCATTGAAAGGCCATGGCAGCATTGGTTATTTTAAAATCAATTTAGAAATTATACTTTTAGTTCTTACGCTATCAATGATTTTAGGCATTAACTTACAATTGTAATACATTTTAATTTAAATATATTCATGTTTAAATTTAAGTATGTTAATATTTAAATTTGAATTTGATATGTTTGTATATAAGCTTCAATTTAAATAAGTTTATTTTTAAATTTAAATATGTTCATACTTAAACTTAAATTTAAATATGTTTTTGTTAAAACTTAAATTTAAATATGTTCATACTTAATCTTCGATTTAAATATGTTCATACTTAAACTTTGATTTAATTATGTTCATATTTAAACTTCGATATAAATATGTTCGTATCTCAACTTCAATTTATCTTTAAAACCAGAAAGTCTACGGTTCTGACCCTGCACTATTTATTTTACTAATGGAAGGTCAAAAATAAAATAAAATAAAGGAAAAGAAAGGCATAAGTGGCTGTAAATAAAACTTAACACAAGTGCTTATCCTCTGAAATCTCAGGAAAGCTTGAAAATTTATGGCGTGTACTACATTTTCGCTCAGCGAGTGAGTTGGGTCCTGCGTTTGTCATTGTCATAATTACGATGTTAAGTTGCTGTCGTAAATACACTTTTTAATTACCCAACCCAGACGAACAGCACTCTGCCACCGGACATGGTCATGCAACATCTGACAGCTGCGACTCCATTTTGATTTAAGTCATGCAAAATGGCCGCCGGAAATGTCACATGCCAAACGCACTGTTCACCGTCACCCACCGACTATATTCCGTTGCCCACTTTTGTGGGCATTGCAAATAAAGACAAATTGTGACAAATGAAGTACGATAATAAGCCACTAAATGGAATTTTTAAGCCAAACGCTTTTCCTACGCAAGCGGAAAGAGGGAAAAAGAGTGCTTTTGCGGCTGCCAAGATTTTGTCATTTCATTTTTGGCCATCCACTTTTGGCCATCTACTTTTGCTTCTTGCTTGCGACCCAAGAGCCATAAGGACTAAGCCCATTTTTCAATTTCCGACAGAACAAAGTCTTGTGGTTTGTCTACCGCACTGCTCAGCTTTCGTCCACTTAGGGTTTCTCCATCCCATGGTTTTAGCCAAGTTCCCTGGTGTTGTTATTGGAGCAAATAAATCTCCAGGAAAGACAAACAGTTATCCGTCGAGAAATACTTATTGGTTTCTCTCCTGTGTACGTTTGTAGATTTTGTGTAAATTTGTCTATGACGCACTTAAACCAACTCGGAATAATATGTATTTTAGACCAATACTCGCAGATGGGGCTCTTGCCAAGAAATTCAAACAAAACTTTAATTAATATTAATCCTTTGCACAAAAGCTGATTATACAATATGGCCAAACCCTGCCGTAAAACTCATTAAAACTTTGCTTGAATTTCAGTTAATCCTGGCCATAATTAAGTGGATTAAAGCGATGCCTAAATTATTCAACGCTTTGAAATTGAAATTAGTGTGACACGTTTTTGAATTCGTGAAATATTCACCACTTAATTTTAGTACATTTAAATTTGCGGCCATGTTAATTGTTTACCCCAGGCCTTGGGCGAAATTTGCATGCCTCGACAGGCCAAGTAAATCGCATTCAAACGAGCAATTAAATATTAAGCAAGTGAATTTTATTGGAGCCTCAATAAACACGTTGGATAAGGGCCAACAACGGGACGGAAATTTCACGAAAAGGTGCTAACATTGTTGAAATATTTAAAAGGACCAACAAAGGCGGCACTTGCTAAACGTTTAACAGTAGCTAAATAAATACCTGACCTCCACCTGTCACCGGGGGAACCCCATATATACAGAAAAGATATATGCAGGCATATTGTGGCCACTGGGGTCCAAGTTGCTTCCTACATTTTCTTGTCTATTTTGACCTGCTTTTGCGGGGCACCTGTATATATCTCTATATACATACAGACATATAAAATGTTTGTGGGGGTTTTTCTTGGGTTCTGGCAAAAAATCGCCAATTCAGCGGCCAGAAGCATTGTTTTTAGCCAGGCTTGCTGCTTATTGCGTGTTTCATGTCAATGTTGTCGTTTCTCCTTTTGTTTCTCGTCTGTTTTTGTTGCATGTTTTTTCTGGATCCGCCTTTTTGTTCGCCCCGAGAACAGCCGGAGCACTTAACATTATACTTAAATGGCTTGGCCTGACATTGTTGGTTTTTTGTGGGTCTCCCGGCGGTGTAAATGGAATTACAAGCTTGCTTAAAACCGAAAATCCAATTAGGAGAACGCGCTGCGCTGCTGTTTTATCGCCGTTGCTGATGTAGTTGATGTTGCTCCTGGCCATGTTGCTGCTGGGAGAACTAGCAGCAACGGCACGAACAGGTCTTTAAAAATGACACATGAATTTATGGTCATGCTTTTGATGTCCTCAAGATGCTTGGTAGTCTTATTAATTCCCCAGATTAATGCCACAGCACGAGAAACATTTTATTTATAATTTTAGCTAGTTAACTTGTAATAACTAACCTACATTTTAACCAAAAATCAAATATATTTCTCTCTAAATAAACCATACTCCCCATCCAATTAAGTTCTGGCTTACAGCAACATACACATATCGGATTTCCAATAAATTAAGCAAACCGAGCCTAATGTTCGTTCATAATTCATCATAATCGAATGGAACCCGCCAACAATTAACGCAGACAACCATCCGGATGCAGTTCAATTACCATGGTCTTTGGGGCGGATTTTAGACTAGTGTTTTGGGTGGAACGCTGACTTGTTAGTGGGCGTGTGGCCCATGAACAATAATTAGTGGGGGCTCGATTATGCAAGGGGAATTGGGGCCAAATCAGGAGCCAGGCTCCAGGACCCACAAACAAAGTGGGCAGTTCTATCTACATATATGTACATTTGGCTCCGGATGGTCTCTGCACTTTCGGCACAAAGGCAAGGATTGTAAGTCAAAATAGCAGGCAAAGCCGCAAACACCAAATGCGAAATGCACGCCGCACACACGTACAAGAAAATATCCTTAAATGGCTTTCGATTTTCGTGCACATGCAGAGTGTCCTTTTGTGTGTGCGTACGTGCATGTGTTTGCCCGCATTTGCATACCAAATGGGTTAAATCGCAGTTTTGGGCTCAGAAATTGCTTTAGCTTGGCCATATGTGTTTGGCTCATTTTTTTGTACAGCCCAGCCCAACCCCCCAAAAAACCCCTCAACTAAACAAAGTTCTTTGTGGCCGTTGTTTTTATTGTTTTACAATTTCGCAATATGCCGACGGCGAGTTTACAACTAGGCCAACACCATTAGCTTGTCGTTGTTGGCCGCCTGCGAGCGATAACTGTGAATAATGATGAAGTTCTAACTGGTTCACTTCGGATAAGCCAGGCGTGTCTGCGATAAGGCCATGAAGTGGATATAATTATGCAGTACAAAGGGGTTCCATAATCTGATTGAAAAGTTCTTAAATCTACGGATCTATTGTGGGTTTTGTATTAACGTGGGTCAAGTCTTTATATTATTGAACGTTATAAAAAGATATTTTCCTTTTTTTTGATTGAAAGATTTTTTAAAACAAGTTTTGTAGGTAAGGTTCTTAAGTAAAAGCAAAATATTATATTTTCTTTGGGTATGATAATCTGAAACTTTTAAAATGAGTTCGTTATTCGTGCAAAGTCTAGACATTTTTGTCATCCTTGTGATCGTGACTATGATTTATGGAATTCCTCGCAGCCTCGCGAGATTCTTTTGAGATTTATGAGGTGTCCTGATTATGAATTATTCGGTCAAAGTTTTGAAATAAGCCCACCCCTAGAAAGCCTTTCCCGCCAGCTTCATTCAACGTCTCTAATTGAGTATGTGCTCGGAAGCAAAGGCAAAGGGCCTCCACGTGCTCTTCGCATCCTTTGAGTTCTCAGGCGAGTCTAATTAGCCGTCGCACAAATGTAAGTATGAATGGCAAGCCACATAAGAAGGATACGCCTTTCGAGACCCGCCCGGCACTATAATTAAGCCCATGGAGGGGGCTCCTCACACGTGAGCTTCTTCTGCGAGGGAAAACTGAACTGTTGTCTGACTGAGGAGCCGAGAGTCTCTAATGCGGTTGCGTATACGCCCCGATGACAGCCCCTCTGACTTTTTAATGAGCCGGGGATGACTTCCTCCTCCACTGACTGGCTGTGCCCTCAACGACTCATTGTGCCCTAGGCAAATTATAGCTGAAAACTGTCAACGCCTGAAACGTCTTAATAGGGTTAAGCTGTCTTCAAGATTTTCATTATTTATGCTCGTGGCGGGACTTTCGGGCCAACGATTAAATAACCAATGCCTGACATCGCCAGATCCAGATCCAGTCCCATCCCAATCCCAAACCCAATCCCAAGCGTAAACTTCCGCAGAAACCCCATCATTATTCGCTCGCAGGGAGCCACAAACTTTCCCAGGCTGTCGCTGCCAAGTGACAAATATTTTTGCTGAAAATACTCGTATATTGCGTAACACGGAAAGTTTGTATGCCGGTCGGCAGGCGGGGGACCAACTGTAATTTCACCGTGTAACCCCCAACTTAAAGTTGAAGTTGTGTAAACCCGCTGATTCGACGACAATGTGTGCAAGGGAATCTACAAGCCTCGAAGGGATCAGATGCCGATGCAGCTTGGAAACTCCAAAGGCGATTTTCGAGAAAGTTTCACCTTTTCGAGTTGGAAGTACGACACCTTTGGGGCACTCAGAAAAATATTTTAATTTTTTTTAATGTAATTACCAATGCGTTCTTACAAACAACAAGTAATCCTTTAACACATTTTAAGATACGGTTCTAACACTACTTCATTTTTATTTCGATATTATATCACCCTATTTATTTGGAGCTAGGACCTAACCGTAAAACATCCTATAAAAAAATATAAAATTGTTAAGTTCATCGGAAAATATGTATTTTATTTTTAAATGTCAATATTATTCTGTAAATTTATTTTAATAGTTTTAACCTAATTCCATCTTAAGTTACGCCTGAAGGTGTTTCTGTGACAATCCGTTTTAGTCGTTTAGATTTTGATTGAAATATATTTAAGGATCTCCTTCGATTGAGTTTTCATTTAGTATGTGATTTGTATTAAATATACAAATTAATTAGAAGTTATTTCTCTGTAGTTGTTGATGTATAATTTTTATAATCATATATCTAATAGAATTTTGCATGAGTGTGTTTTTCTAAAACCTTCTAGAGTTTCTCTTGGACTCCAGACAAGTTTCTCTCAGTGCGGGGACTCTGGCCACAGTTTGAGGTCTTTTATTAGATCATGTACCGCACCTTTTGTTCGGTTTTTACGTATGTCTCAAAACTGGAGAACTTACCCTTGTCGTTGGGATCGAATTCAGCCTCTAGTTCGGCTTTGGTTGGCTCCGCGGCTGCGGCTGCCTCGGCGGCTGCTGCCGATGGAGCTGCACCGGCGGCACTGCCGTTGTTGGTCACAGTTTTGGTTTCCGATTTTTTCATGGTTTCTCTCACTTTGTGGCCCCGAAAGACGGCTTGGATTTTTGTTGCGGCTTTTGCTGCAATTAAAAGTGGAGACAGAAGACAACAGAAATTACAAAGGGCTTACAGGTAAAAGCTCAATACCAGCCAACAAAGGTATTTATTGTATTTACAACCAGAAAAAAAAACTGTTCAAGGACATGTATAGCCATTTTTAGTCCATTATTCCTTTAATTAAAGTCAATGGGCTAAACAATTTTTTCGGAGTGTATGTTAAAATTATAAAGCTTTGTGAAATATTTTCTTTAATAAAAGTTATGCCCAACAAAAATCCCAGTCCAAGCCATCGGCTTCTAAAGGGAAAGTACGAATGGTAAACTTTGAAACTGTCGCCCAGTTTTATGACTTTTTCCTTGATGGGTTCCCTTTGAGATATTTTATACCCAGCTTATGTCTCCCTACCAATACTCTATACCAATCGAAAGAAATGAGTTTTATGGCCAGGCTATCATGTGTTGCGAGCTTCAATGACGGGCCAACTTTTGCTTTGGCACATCATCGACAGTTCCTAAAACTTCGGTTGCAGCTTTCAAACAATTAACTTCAAAGGGGTCGTCGTTGTGCATTGCCCCTGGCCAAATAAACCCCCCTGGGCCACTCAATCGATTTTGAATCGAGCTGAGCGAGTTCTCGGAATTTTTTGGATCCCTGCCAGAGGAGTTGGCTTAAAGAGAGAGAAAGGGGGTGAAAGGAAAAGGGGCGAGGGCAAAGGGCAAATTCTGCTGTGCTAATAAACTTGAAGCGCAAGTTTCGCTTGGAAAAAGGAAGGAAGTCGATGAGGACGAGGAGGCTATGTGCAATAAACAGAAATATAGTGAGCATGTTCCTGTTCCCCCATTTTTGCTGGCTGCCTGGGTCAGCATTCATTTTTTATGGCATTTTTCACGCAGATACCGAAGGAGAAAAAAAAGCACTGGCGGCCTTGAATAAGTTATAATAAATTGACACGTAAGGCTTTCGGTTCGGTTTTCGGTTTTTGGTATTCTTGCTTTTGCCAAACACTATCAATAAGGCAAAGCAAAGTCGAAAGGGAAAGCGTTTCTAAAAAAGTAGTTGTTTGTGCTTGGCACAAGGTTGCTCGTAGCCCCCCCTCCCAGTGGGTGGTGAAAGGTGGGTGGTGAAAGTTGGGAGGTGGGCGATAAGTGCTAACGGTAGGGTGTGGCAAGGTTGCGCTGTCAAGTGGCGAGTGCTGTGCTTTTAATAGCTGCCCACTCTGCTGGCCCTGCTATTAAATCATCGAATATCCCGTATCAAGATGCGGCCCAAACGGCATTGAGTTCTAGTTACGCTTTAAGGATTATTCCGCTTTCAAATGGTTTTCCTTCCATCGAAATCGAGGGAAAACATATTTATTTCCTGCTTGGGGGCTTGGGACGTGAAGGCTCTTGTAAATATCTCATATATATTGCACGAACGTTTTTTTAATAAATTCCCACCAAGCCGTAAAAATGTTTATTTGTTTTCCGCTCGAGAAAAAATGCAAATTTAACGCTGAATTGGATTTATTAAACTGCCATCTGCTCTGTATGCCAATACACTCCTATTGGCCACAAGCTTTTTAGTAAAACATACAAAAACACAACAATTTAAAGGCCCATATGGGGGGTTTTGCGTTTAAATAAATATATGGTTTGTGAATATAAAACACAATTGCCCGAGCACATTGCTTTGTTTATGGCCTTAATTTCCAGCAGTTTCCTTTTTATATTTAATTGGTATTTTTGTTCTGTTCTAGTAAAGCTTAAATTGAGCACGAGAACATCAATAATTTATAATTAGAAACTAACGGCGGGAAAATGAAAATTTATACAGCCCATTTGAAACTGGCGCCTAATGGCCACTGCTTTAGTGTGACTATAAAATGCAGTGAATTATGCGTGGCAAGGTTATTAAATAAATTTTGCATGTGGCTCATTAAACCTGACAGCCGCAGAAAAATAAATTAAAGCCAGGTGAGGCAGGCCAAAGGGTCCCAATGGCAACAAAAATTGAATAACCGCAAATGGCAAATGGTGGTGAACTTACACACCTGTATCTCAGGCAGGTATATAAAGTGCCTGACACTAAAAGAAACACGCACCCAATTACAGACGACGTATTCTTAGTATGGTGCCAGGAACAGAACAGGATCCTTCGCACGTGGAAAGCCATCTTACCACTTAATTCATTCATAATTCGCCATTTGCCAGGTCATAACCCGGAATCATTTCCGCTTCCGGCAGGAAAAATATGATTAAATTTGTCATGCTCGTCGGTTCTTCCCATTTCTGCTCCATTCCGGGCTCCTTCGCAGGATTCGAGTTTCAGTTCGAGTTCCCACTGTGCCACAATGACCGAGTAAGTTATTTACGCAATTAAAATTCATTAGCTAAGGTCTCTTATTCCTGTTCGTTTTCCTTTCGTTTACTTCTTTTTCCTTCTGCCTGGAGGTTGACAATAGTCGTTTATTCCGTTAGGAATCTGACAAATATTTTCTTTCCCTAATTAATGCAATTCCAGCAATCGGTTTTGTGAAAGCTTGGACAGCTGGAATGCTGTTGTCTTCTTATTAAAACGAATTACGTTAATAGTTTTTAGCTTCTCTTTAATTATACCCGTTACTCGTAGAGTAAAAGGGTATACTAGATTCGTCGGAAAGTATGTAACAGGCAGAAGGAAGCGTTTCCGACCCCATAAAGTATATATATTCTTGATCAGGATCACTAGCCGAGTCGATCTAGCCATGTCCGTCTGTCCGTCTGTCCGTCTGTCCGTCTGTCCGTCTGTCCGTCTGTCCGTCTGTCCGTCTGTCCGTCTGTCCGTCTGTCCGTCTGTCCGTCTGTCCGTATGAACGCTGAGATCTCGGAAACTATGAGAGTTACAATACTGGGATTAGGCACGCAGATTCCTGAGATTCCTGCGCAGCGCAAGTTTGTTTCAGTAGAGTGCCACGCCCACTCTAACGCCCACAAACCGCCCAAAACTGTGGCTCCTACAGTTTTGATGCTAGAATAAAAATTTTAACTGAAATGTAATGTTCTCATCAATACCTATCGATTGACCTAAAAAAAAGTTTGCCACGCCCACTTTAACGCCCACAAACCGCGAAAACCTGTGACGCCCACAATTTTTATGCTAGATAAAAAATTTTAACTGAAATCTATTCGTCTCGTCATTACCTATCGATTGACTCAAAAAAAAGTTTGCCACGCCCACTTTAACGCCCACAAACCGCAAAAACCTGTGACGCCCACAATTTTCATGCTAGATAAAAAATTGTAACTGATGATGATAATTGTCTCGTCGATACCTATCGATTGATCCAAAAAAAAATTTGCCACGCCCACTCTAACGCTTAAATCTGTATACCGCCGGTAGGTGGCGCATTTTAATCTCGCTTTGCTGCTTGCATATCTCCATTTAGCTGAGTAACGGGTATCTGATAGTCGAGGTACTCGACTATAGCGTTCTTCCTTGTTTTTTCTTGATTCGAAACACCCTAGCACAGACCCATCCCATAATTCACGTACAAATTTCAATAAAATCCCTTGTGCGCGGCATCGCCTGCAGCAAATTACATACAATTTATTATTTTAATTAAATTGTTGGATGTCAGCCGGTTGCTGCAGTTTTATTTGAATTTTACTTGGCATTAAAACGTATACTCAGGTGGCCCAGTTTTTTCGTAAAAAATATAATAAAATGCTAACCGGAGGGTGAACAATGCCTGGAGAATATTAAAACGAATGAGTTATGCACGAGGCCAGAGGCAGAAGAGCAGCAGGAAAACTTGGCCCAGCTGCTTCTTGGCCTTAGCAACATAAACAGCGGGCTCAGTCGAGCCAGAAGTTAAATAAATAAGCAAACCAGCAAAAAGCGAAGCCATAGCAGCAGGCAGCGATCTGTTTCTGAGATTTCTCTCCATTTGGAAAGGCCAATGTTATTTATAAGGGCTTCCTTGCTTCTGAACTGACAAAGTTTACTTTAATTGAAGAAGAAACTTAGTTTAGCCTAGACTTACAATATACATTTCCATAAAAATTAATTATGGCGCCTAACGTGGGGCTTTTTATCGTTCTTATTGTATTTTATAAATTTCCTTAAACAAATGTTGAGGTTTGGTTAACTGCTTAAAATTTATTAATCCCGAAACACTAAATTATTCACATTTAATGACAACACAGAAAACTTTATGGAGCCAGAAGTTAAATAAATAAGCAAACCAGCAAAAAGCGAAGCCATAGCAGCAGGCAGCGATCTGTTTCTGAGATTTCTTTCCATTTGGAATGGCCAATGTTATTTATAAGGGCTTCCCTGGCTAAGGGCTTACTTTAATTGAAGAAGAAACTTAGTTTAGTCGAGATTTACAATATACATTTTTCCGTTAAACATAATTATGGCGCCCAACGTGGGGCTTTTTATTGCTCTGATTGCATTTCATTTATTCATTAAACATATTTTGAGGTTTCTTTAGCTGCTCAAAATATATTAATCAGAAAACACTAAATGATTCACATTTAATGACAACACAGAAGGCTTCATGCGCTTCAAGGTGAGCCATTTTCATAGTCTGCTTCTTGGGGTTCCCTTAACCACACATGACTCATTAACCTGACTGCCTGTCAGATGTTTCCACCTACACCCTTGACAGCCATTTAGCTCGACAATCTCCATTAAATGTTCATATACAGCTTGGCAAACTTTTTCCCATTCACATTCACTTATCTAGTCACTTAGGTCCATCGTTTACACCCCGAGGAATGGGATGATGAGCTTCACTCACCACTCCAACACCTTTTCTAATCTTTTAGGATGGTTTGATATGATCTATTTGTGGCTGATATAATACTTGGTTGTCATATTTCAGTGGCAAATTAATAGCACACAAATAGAATTAGTTATTTATGACCTATCTTGGCTGGCTTAGCCAACAGTAATTCAACTGCTCTCCAGCAGACACTCAACGTTTTGTTTTGTGCAGTCATAATTTATTCTGTTGATTTATATTATTTATTTCCGTGACTGTTAGTGAACGGTT